CGGGAAGCTGTAAGCCAAAGCGCCTAGGGTTTGGGGCTTAGGGTTTAAGGTTTAGGGCTTCAGGGCATTGGGGTTCCCCTTTTCTGGCTTGTTTTGGATTTGTTTCGGTCAAAGCCCCGAGCCCAGAGTTTGGGGTTTAGGGTTTAAGGTTTTCTTTGGTTTGAGGGCCTTTTGGCGTCTGCACGAAGCGGGTTTAGGGTTTAGGGTTTGGGGTTTAGGTAGGGGTCGACATCTCTGTGCCATGCAGCTGCTACGCAATCTTCAGAGCTACCTCGAAACCAGGTAAGATTGGACCCAATCCCCAGCCAGAACGAAAATCACGGTTTAAGAGTTTTAGGGTTTAGGATCTGAGCATAGTCCCACTCCTACGTCTGACGCCTCAACCCTCAACCAATTTGATCAAGAGACTACATGGTGGCCCGTGGGCGTCTTGTCCGTGTGGTGCACGCCCTCTACGACGATTTCGCCCAGGCGCTCCGGGAAGGGAGGCGGGTTGGACCAAGTGGGGCGGTCACTGAAGAGGTAGCCGGGCAGCTTCCTGCTACAGAGAGCTTCTGTTTAGGGTTTAGGGTTTAGGGTTTAGGTGTAGGGCCCATGTGAGGTTTCACAAGACATACCTGGGACTCTATTCATCTACGCGATGTAGTAGCGCCTACTTGCCCCTTCTTGGTGGGTATAACCCTTCACTAAAGCGGTAGGCATACATGAAGCCGCAGGGTTCATTCAGGAAAGCTTCCGTCTAAATCCAGGGCTCTTTCCCGGGAACTTAGGGCCTGGAGATGAAATCTAAATGCAGACAGAGCTTCTTGTTGCGAAGATGCAGGGGAAGACACTTGTGTTCCGCTTCCGTTGGTTGGAAGCTCCGAATGCTTTGGATCTCGTTGGCCGCTTCTTGCTGCTCGTTCTCGTAAGTGGTGACCTCTCGGAGATGCTTCATGCCGACGCACTGCACCTCCATACGCTCTTCCTGGTTCAGCTCCACCTGTTCATCCACCACCGACTCGGAAGCCAAGATGCGCTCCTGGGAACTAGCGGCACTTATCCCAACACCCAACACTGCTCAATCATGAGAAGTCCCCGAGACTCTAGTTGCCTGCCACTTAGAGTCAGCACCCCGTAGACACTATAGGCAATACCACGGCGCCGTTGGTCCTAGATCAATGTTTCTGTCAAGAAAACAACTAAACCCTAAACCCTCGCAAAACTTTTCGGGCTCCACGACTAAACGGTAAAACGTCCAAAAAGCCGTCGGCCCGAAGACCTTTCAGTTTGCGGTGATCTGATCAAACCTGAGAAACCAGGCCATTAACTTATGCACAAGCAAGAGAAAAGTGATGAACGCCAAAGCCTTCTGATAAAAACACACCACAGCTTAAATGAGAAGAATCCGCCTAGGCCCTAAACTGTAAACCCGACCAAAACCCAGAACAAAGCCCTAAACCCTAAACCCTAAACCAACTCAAACCCTAAACCCTAAACCTTAAACAGTTCAAAAGCCCAAGGCACCTCCTGCATCACCACTTCCGGCGAGGCTGGCGGAAGGCCTCCTCTCAGCACATGGAGACTTGTGGCCTTTTAAGGTCGGAGGTTTAAGGTTTTAGCGTTTAGGGTTTAGGGCTTTAGGGTTTCAGGGTTTAGGGCTTTTAGGGCTTTTAGGGTCTGGGGCTTAAGGCTTAGTGGTGTAGTATTTTACATCTAGCGTGCGTTTGGCAGTATTAGAGCCCCGTCGTTCTACTGTAGTATACCATTCCATACGATTCAAGCAGAACCCTAAACCAAAAAGGTGACTTCGAGGTGAGTGCCCTTGGACGTCGGGTTCAAGGTTTAGGGTTTTGGCCTCGGGGAGAGAAGACCTATCATAACCTGATAACATGCACATAGGCTCGTAAAACCACCAGCAAGGAAACAGAGCACTAAAATAGGCCCGTAGACGTCTTTTGAGAAGTTCGCAAAGATCAAATCACGCGTGCAGGCAAGCTTACCTCTTAACTCCAATTGACCACAGCTCAGTAGCGTAGCAAATAGCCTTAAACGCAACAGGTCTGATTTGTCTACTTCACAAAACCTGTGTACAACCAGAAACCTAAGCTCGCCAAAACTGCAAAAACCTGAACCACCAAAACCCCAAAACCCCTGCAAAACACCCGAAACTCCTACAGCCCCAGACAAGCTACATCCCAGGGTCCCGGTTTAACGCTGGCGTCCTGGTGGCATCACGGGGGGCGGCCCTGCGCCCTGCATCTGATTGTGCGTTGGGACGGCCACTCCTAGTGGCATCACGGGGGGCGGCCCTGCGCCCTGCATCTGATTGCGCGTTGCGGCGGCCACCACCGGGTTGCCCTGTGAGGGTTTAAGGTTTAGGGTGGTAGTACAGTAGTAGCAGCAAGAGCAGCAATAATCGTGATTAATATTCCCACTGTTAAAACACGACCAGTAGTAGTAGTAGTAGTAGTAGTAGTAGTAGTAGCAGCAGCAGCAGCAGTAGTAGTAGTAGTAGTAGTCGTCGTGGTGGTAGTAGTAGTAG